TGTTAAAGTTTCATAAGTTTTACATCGAATGAAACTGATTTGGAAAAATTCTCTTTTGCCTGATTTAGTTATTTTTTGTTACTTGTATGAATTATTGTAATTTTTGTCCTTAAAAATGCCAAAATTTGGTCTATGGTAGTCACTTAAACTCAATGTTTTTGATCAATTTTGAGAATTTTTGCTGTGAAATCAGAGAAAAATGTGAAGATTTGTTGATTTTGTGTGAATTTCACAGATTTGTGAAAAACTAAAAGGAATTAATGATGTAATTTGGCCACATAAAAAGCTACGGCGGGCCAGATTTGGCTTTGTGAGTTTGACACGTGGTTTAAAAGCAGCCCGGCTCTTTCTGCAGTCAGGTTGCACCCGCACAAATAATGCTTTGATTTATTGTAATTACTGATAACATGGATGCGATTATTTTTTCTGCTTTTCAGACTGTGAAGTCTCCCATTCAAAGAAAGGCAGAAAAACACAGAGCCCAGAACTGGAGACGAGGCCAACGGAGCCTGCAGAGTGGTGACTTCCACACTGATGCCGCCCAGAGACTCCAGTGATTCACAGTAAAAACCCATTTCAACAAATCATTTCCAAAAAGAGCCAAGATCACTGTACAGACTGAAAACCTTGGCACCATGCAGCAGTAAGAACATGTTGGCATAGCAACGCTGCCTGTGCTTCATTTGGTAGCGTACGGACTTTCCATGTAGCCGAAATGCGGCTCGGCTCTGAGAGGAACCTTCAGGATTTCATCTGGGATGCCAGACCTTTTCCTTGAGGACGTCTCCTGCTTCTGGTAACTCATCCGTCAGAAGTGTTTATGTTTTCTTATGTTAATAACGATGATGAATGCATTGTTTTCTGAGATGGATTCTTTGGGAAGGAACTTCTCATCGAGAGGCTAACAGAAAGAGACAGACTTTGTACCACAGCCAAACATCCCGATATATCATGTTATTTAAAAACAAATGTTTTACAGCTGTGCTACAGGCCCGGATTGCATAATCAAAGAGCTGTCCAAAAAAGTATGTTCATTTTCATTCGCTGCTTTATGTATTTATGTTTTTTTTATCTGTGCAAAAAAAAAAAAAAAGAGGAAGAAAAACGAACTTGGTCAATTGACAGCATATTTATCTTCCTTTTTACCAAGCCCTGTTTTCAGCAGAAATCTGTTTCAGTTTGTTTTTACCAGGTATGCCATGATTTCAAAGGAAAGTTTGTAGAAAACGATGGTGAAAGACATATAATTGGCACCCAAGTTTTGTTTGAGGTTCCTGAGTTTTGAAAGGAATCTGGAGAGAAACCAAACTGGTGCCTTCGCAAAACAAGACAAGCATCGAGTTTGGTCTTGATGCAGAAATTAGAGTCTTATGACTGAAAGTTTAATAAAAAAAAGACGTCAGAGTTTCCTAAAGTCTTCGGCTGAAGTTTCAAGATGTGACAGGAAAGAGCACAATGCCATAAGAAAAGAGCTATCAGCAAGTAAAGTGACTGACGTTTCAATATAGTGACCTACAGAAAAGCTTTGGTTCCTGAGCAGAATGAGAAACTCAACCCAAAAGTAATCAGTAGATTCTTAAAGTTTTGACTGTGAAGTTTTCATCTGTCCTGGTTGTTGTTTAGATCTTTACGTACGCAGACTCTCCCATGACTCTTTTAGAGGCTGAGAGTACGTTAGACGCTCCCATCATGCATATAAAAGCTGTCATTTTTAGCAATAAAGCTATAAGCGATAGTTTTGTCACAGCGAATATGCTTTATTACCTCAATAAAGTCAGGACAAACTCCATGAACTCAACAAATTTTAAACAGATTTTGATGACATGGACTTCTTCTGAGGCAAAAAATTAAACTTCTGAGGATTAAAACCCCAAATTCTAGCCAGAAATTTGTAATAACTTCACAGCGTTTACATTGTGAAATTGAATTATAATCTCTTCAAAATCTGATTTTTTTCAAATTCACAGATATTAAACGGATGTGCACCAAAGGAACATGAAAGCAGCAGCAGCACCTTGATATGTTAATGATCCACAGGGATTACAGATTTACTTTGAAGGATTTACTGTTAAATCAGACGTCCCATTTTGAAGGTCCGTCCAGCATCAGGTGATGCTTATCCGGCCATTTCTTCCTGACGTTCCAGTGCGCCATCCTCTCTGTAATTTCTTTCGTCTTTTTGAAATTCACTGCAACTTAGAGAAATATTAGTCTAATATATAGTGCAAATACCTTTGTACACTTGAAATAAGACAAGACTTTTTAGCAAGCCATAGAGCTTGTTTTAAGTCAATAATTGTTTAATATAGATGAAAAAGTTCTTGTTCCACTGGCAGATTAATTTATAAGATGGGAAATATGTTTTGTGAAATAACCTGCCAGTGGAACAAGAACTTTTTCATCTACATTAAACAATTATTGACTTAATCTTGCTGAGAAGTTACTTGAAAGTTAGTTTTATTTAATTTTAAGTGAACTCAGAAACAATCTTAAATCACACTTCATAACCCCCCATCAGAAGAAGCTCTAAGCAAAAAAAAAAAACTCAGATTAAGACTCTTCTTCTATTGAAAACCTCCTAAAAGACATAACTGAGAGCTCAGAGGTCAAATATCTCCATAGTTAATACAAAGGAACCTCTTAACCACTGTTAATCTTTTGCACCCTTAACAGAGCCTCAGTTTTACTGCAGCAATACTTTCTGCTCAGCCTCAAGGATATAATTGGCTTTCCTGAATTTGTGTAACCGTAAAGTTTCTGCTCACAGCCGGAGGTTTGCTTATTGTTTATTTCACACCTGGAGTGCGGAGCCAACACATGGCATACGTTATGACTTAATGTGCACAGACAGTGGTGGTTGGGTTGGTGCAAAAGGTTAATCTGTAAATTTGTAACATCTGGGCTGAGAAAGCTGGGCAGTCTGGTTTAGGCAGGGCTGATTTGACAACTTAAACAGCTGAGAATAAATACAAAATGGTTTCCAATCCAGCTATACATCTCTGTGGTGTTTTACTTAATCGCTCTGGAACACAATAAATCCAGTGATTCCGTGGATCAGATAGTAATCTTTGATCTTGACTCTTCAGCTGCAGACAGGGAGCAATTTAAAGGAAATCCAGAACTGTCGTGGCATTCCTGGTCGCCTATAGCGCGATAAATTTGGTGTAAACAAAGTTTGCTCATCATGGTTGAACGCGGTGTTGGTTTTCTGCTTACCGTCGAACTAAAAAAAATCCAGGCTTCTGTCCACCTGTCATGCATGAATGTCATCAATTTTGAGGCTTTTAATGATTTATTTATTTTTATATTTCAGTGTATTGACCCTTTGTAACTACGTCACAAATCATTTCGGCGCCATGATGGACGTCGGAAATGAGGGATGGGAGCATTGAACAGAGCGACTAAAATAGTTTTCCAAAGTTGTTTTTGCCAGTTTATTCATGGCTTCTACTTGTTCGAGTCGAGCTAATTTGTCTGTGAACGTAACACACCTGGTTGGGGGTCATATAAATAGCTAGCTATAATAGCTAGCTAACCGACCCATACCATCTCCCTCCTGACGTGTTGATCAAATTATCGACTTCGTCTGAATTCACGCCACACGATTTATATCACTATCAAATACGGCGTTTCCCCTTACACCAGAGCTGCATTAAAAACGTACTAAAGACAAGATGCTAACCAGTTTTTTCCATACATGCTAGGCTACATGACGGTGCGGCACTGTTTCCATGGTTACCAATGGTTAGACACGTATTTTCTCCATAATATATTTCTAATAATACTTACTTATAAAGTATATGAACGTTAATCTTCTTACCTTTTAAAAGGTGTTCGCTGCAAATCCACGATTACACCGAGGGCTGACAATCATATAGACAGCTGCCAGTCGTTGATTGACAGCTGCTGTTCATCGCCGCCGTATCTTTCCTTATTAAAAGTTATAAGATAAAATGGTAAGTTTGATCTGCATCTTTATCTGTGCAGTCGATTGCGCAGCACCATCGTATGACCATATTTTAAGTGAAATCAACTAAATAGAAGCGATATTGGGCTGCAGATGTCTGTTTTAGACTAGCTTTAAAGGAGCTCATTGGTTGTTTTGAAGTCCATCATGGCGGAGTGGGAGGAGTTCTGGAGAGCGTGACGTCACGTGCAAAAGGTCAATATCAGCAATGATTTTTAAAACTAAATTCACTGTGTATTTTTCTCTTTTTAGATATTGTTTCATATTTGTGATGTATAATGAATTCACCCTGCAAAAAGAAATGTATAAAAACACCTTTAAAAGAACATAAAGATGTTAGTGTCCATGTCAACCACATCATGTGCAATAAAACAAGCCCACTCCATAATGCAGTCACCACCATGTTACACAGATGTTTTTGGGGTTTTTTCTTGGTTTCAGGCTCCATTAGCCCCTTTTGCTTATTTTCAACTATAGTTATATAGCACAATAAATCAACTGCAAATTTTAAAAATTATAACTTACATTGGATAAAAATCTTTTCTTGGGTTATATTTGCAGAAATGTAATGCACAACAGAAGTAATTTCAGGATGTTTAGGATAAATAAATGAGTTTGTTTTATTCATCTTTAATTTTTATTATTCTACACTTTCTTCACAACATTTCAGAAAATGACCTGAGAGTCATGTTTCTCTGTTTTGGTTTATTACAAATAAATAATTTATTTTATAAAAATGTAAAGTGAATACAGAAGCACTCGAGTATGACACACCTACTGATAAAATCGGTTTTATACCATGTGAAGCTCTCTAAAGGTAATGTTTGTCCATATGTAGAGGAGAAATTGGTGATTTTCAGGGAGCAGACGTGACTAGAACGGCCACCAGAGGGCAAAAGTTGGCATCACCATGGTTACAGGCAGTAACAGGAGCATCCAACGGTGATTGCTGCCGCTTCTGATTGCTCACTTTTGCCCTCTACTGGCCATTTTAGACATCAGCTCCATATAAATCATCTCCATCCAGATTGTCTTTTGCATGTGAGCCACTGTCACAAAGAGGATTAATTTGAACAACTAAAGTTTAGATTTATGTTTTCTCTGCAGCAGATTCAGATTTTAGCTTCACCCTCATACGACCATAAGTCTAAACTCTTAAACCATGTTGTTTTTTGATTTCTTTCAGTGGCTCAGACTTTAACTTAAGACACATGGTTCATTTCCTGTAAATCCCGTCAAGCTGGTTTGCTTTTTTTTTACTGTAGGACTCACTTACCCCCGTGTTACTCTTTGGTTTACTTTGTTTGCTATTTCTCACAGTTTGAAGAAGAGCTGGTTTCTAAACAACCTACAAGCTATCCCTGGCTTTAAAAAAGAAAAAAAAAATCCTGCACACACACACACACACACACACACACACACACACACACACACAAAACAGTTCATGTTGTAAGACAGCAGTCAGGAATAATATTTGCTCATACATGTTGGATTAAGTCAGAATAAAGAGATGGAGCTGAAATGTTTATTGCAGAATTTAAGGTATTGAAACACCTTGCTAGCTTCACATTTCGCATTGAGTTTGGTTTAAATTTTTATGTGACATGGTTCTGTTTGCATAAGTTACAACTTCAGTCTGCATTTAGTCCTGACATGTAACTAAATTCAGGTCCAATTTTAAGCTGGTCCACATATGCAACAAGATATATGCAACAATGTGCACAAAGAACAATGTTTGCATATTTTTTCTACATACAATTGTCTGAGTGTTTCTTTCTCGTGCTTCAGAAACCATGTAAGTGCTTTTGTTTGTGTAGGAGCTTGATTCAGATATAAGAGAGAAAAAAACCTGCAAAAACATGAATGTTTGCGGTCTCACAGATTATTGTTTTATACACAAGATATTGAATTTTTGTTGTTTTTGGAAGTGTGTAACGCTCTGACAGTACTTTTATGAAAATAAATCAATATTTTTATCAACTAACTCTGTGTCTTGATTCAATACATTTAATTATTAATCAATGTATTGTTTGTATGAGAAAAATAATTGTTTATCTCTGAAAAAATGGATATCTATTTTTGAATGAACCAGAAAAAGTACCTCTATGTGACTGTGGTCAGGACGAGTAGCATTCTTGCTAACTTAGCGACAGTAGCTGTGTTTCCATTACATATGTCCGCAAAACTTTGTGAACATTCCACTAATGTCGAAAAAGCACAAGCAATTATGCTGTTTGCATTGAATAAGAAACGCAAATAAAGTCACACGTGAATAAGTTTATTTATGCCATAAATCATTAAAAAACATGATCGTCAACAATTCTCCAACTACTTCCTGTTGTCATCTTTGTGTTTTGCACCAGTGGCAATGTCCAGTTGTTGATCATGTGACTTGTGTAAATTACCCAAGTATAAGTAAAAAGTATTAAGAAGAGTCTATATTTCTGAACCTTGCCTTATTTTTGGGAGACATCAAGCCTCACTCATGAGGAAAAAAAGCTTTCTTTTTTTTACATTTAAATCTGCAATGGGTATAAAACTGTTACCTTAACAGTAGGTGTTTTTGTTTACTTTCAGTCAGTGTGTCCTCTATTTTTTATTGTTTTTAATCTGTAGTAAAGCTGATTTAAAAAGCACACAGCCAGGCACATTTTTAGCTGTAACCCTGTATTTCTAAGGGGCAAGGTAATCTGTCATGTCACCCATATAAAAAGAAACAAAAGAAAAAAGATGCTGAACTTGGAGCATAACGGTGGTCTGTTTCCTAAAGAGAGCAGACTAATTGTATATTTTAAATTTTGTTTGTTTAAATTACTATTAAACATTTAATAATAATTTAGTACTTCAAACAATTTAAAATGATTTTTAAATAAAGTCCCTTTGCCGTAAAAATATAAGGAACAGGCAGAAAGCTCAACAGGAGATGTTGTGATTTTTCGTTACGTAGTATTATGTCCCTCCGCGCTGGCCGTACACTAGAATTTTCACATAGCTGTAAGTTGTCGAAGCTTTTGTTTTGAAAGTTCTAACCCGGAAGTGGCGACAGTTCAGGACCCTGTGTTGTAAACAGAGACCTGTTTTTCGGTCAAGTTCCTCAGAAATGGCCTCAGCCGGGGGTATCCAGATACCGAACCGTCTGCCGCTGCTGCTGACCCACGAAGGAGTGCTCCTGCCGGGCTCTACGGTCCGGTTCAGCGTGGACTCGCCGCGGAACATGCAGCTAGTGGGCCAACGGCTGCTGAAGGGGACCTCCCTGAAGAGCACCATCATCGGAGTGATCCCCAACACCAGAGACCCCGAACAGGACTCCGACCCTCTGCCGCCGGTTCACCAGTAAGAACCAGTCCGCTGCTCAGCTGGAGACACTGGTGGGGTTACTGGTCAGATTGGCCTGGGGTTTGGCAGGTCTGGGGCTGTGACGTAACAGGTCATCGGGTCAATGACCAAAAATTAATGAAGTGACTTTCATCATAGACCTAATCAATACTTTAAAATATAGTGCGTAAAACCCCCAAGTCAAATAAATATCTAAAATGAAAAGAAAATTACAGACGAGTCATGTCAAATGAAAAGAAGTGGGTCATAAACCAATTTTTTTTTAAATTATATAAAAAAAAAATATAAAAAAACAAACAAAAAAATCAGCCTAAAAATAGTAATGCATATCCTCAAAAACTAAATATAAATAAGAGTCATGAAAGGGCATCATAAGTAGAGTCATAAATCAAAAGAAAAGAAAAACTTAAAAATCAGCCTAAAAATAAAATACATACCTACAGAACTAAATAGAGGGGTAATAAATAAATAAAATAAGCATAACCACCCAAAAGATAAAGTGTAGAATATCATAAAACAAATGTAAATCAATTAATTATTAAGAAAAACACACATGAATCAAAATGGATAAAAACAAAAACAAAGTAAGTCATAAAACTATACAAGTAAATTACAAAAATGTGGCTCGTAAGGAAACAAATGACCCCCATAAAAGTTGACACACACAAAAAACATAAAAGACAAATAATTACGTAAACCATGATAAACCATTCATTGCCCAATCCGAGAGGATTTAGTGCCTCATGTCTTAGAATGATCCTAAATGTTCTTAGCAGTGTGTGAAATAACCAAAGGGTAATTTAACATTTTTCTTTTCATCTGCTCTACCAAAGTTGATGCAGTCCAGGTCAGAAACCACAAGTCTTAAACTGGTTACATCTGGACTGGATCGTGCAACTTTTAGACAGGAGGTCGTATTAAAGGCAGTTTGGGACTCGTTAAACCTGAGTTATGATGTTTAAAGATCCGGTACCGCACTGAAAGTTTCAGAATTCGCAGAAGGTTCACTCTCCTGTCCAGGTAAGGCAAGGGTTTTATATTTATACATAATAAAAAGACAGCTTTTATATCCTGTCACTGAGTTACACTGGAAGCGCCTAATTGACTTGTTTTTTTGCTGTGGGAAGCGATTTATTCCAGAAATTTCCAGAGGCCAGCTGTAGCATTTTCACTCAAGGTGACCACAGAGGAGTGGACTTTAAGCTTTTTATCAGCTGCGTCTCGCTCTGCTTGGTTACTCAGTAGCAGCTGAAGCTCCTGTTGGTTTATCCTTTCACCACCAACACCAGTCATCTTCATCCAGGGCTGCAACTAACGGTCATTTCAGCAAATTATTATTCTATTAATTATTCAGATGATTAATCAATTAATCAGATTCAAAAAGCCTTTTATTAAACAGTATTTTAAATAGATTAAAGGGTACAAAGAAACAAATTAGTTCCTTTTAAAAAAACAAAATAAAATTCCTAAATGCAACTTCATATCCTTCCTTTGGTGTATGCTTCTGTTGATCATTCAGACTATTTATCAGATAAAAAATGTCACATTCTGTAGACTTTTCTTTTAATCTGTCCATTTCATTCATTCATTCATTCATTCATTCATTCATTCATTCATTCATTCATTCATTCATCTATTCATCCAGTTTCATTTTGAGATCTAAACAAAAGCGTTGTGAAGATCAAACCTGCTGTCTGTGATAATTTTCTGACCCGGTCAGAACCAGAGGCAGACCCTCTGCTTCCTGTAGCAGAACCTAACTCTGTTTTTATTATTTGTTCATTTTGTGGACGTCTTTATGTCTCAGTGTTTTTCTTTCTTTCCTGCTCAGTTTGTCTTCAGCTTCGCTGCCAGATTCAGTCCAACATTTAATGGCTTACAAAGTGATTTTGGGAACATTTGGAGTTGATAAGAGAATCTGCTCTGAAACGTCTGGGAGGGGACAGTCCTTCACTTCCTTCATTCCTCCCTATACTTCATTCATTCCTTCCTCACTTCCTTCTGACTTTCCTTACTTACTTACTTCTTCTCACCCTTCCTTCTTTCTCTCCTTTTTCTCCTTTCCTTTATGCCCTACTTTCCTTTTATCCTTCCTTCTTTACTTCATTTAATC